TTCTGGCATTGTCGATTGGCGTTGAGCTAGATGGTGTGATGAATTCAGCCATCCCCTCCATATCGACAGAGATGCCAATTGTAAAGGGGATTTTTCGTCAGTGGCAATTGAGTCAGTTGCGCACAATCCTTCGTATTTCCCGAGTACTCTTTGACACTTCTCTCAATGGCACTCTGTTGCTCCATGGTTCTGAAATTCCAGGGAACACCAAATATCAGCAACCACTTTTCCACAACATCCACACCGAAACATTCTGTCCACTTAACTTCCTGTTTGCGTATGTCACTCGTAACCACATGCTGAAGGGTTGGTTGAAATTGGAACACAATTAACATCACTGCATATCAGCGCCTGATGACTACCTGAACCGACGCATTTTGTGGGGGTCGCAGAAGCCTGTGAGTTCTTCTGCTTGCATTGAGATGCCCATTCGACGCCAAATTTTCTCAAACACTATATTCAATGAATACCTCACTAACTAGTCAAACTGTACTGGGGCTGACCGGCCTACGCTGCCAAGTTGGACCAAGAGAAAGAAGACTTTCAGAAGAAGGGTGGTTCAATCAACCGCTATGTACAAATTAGTGTGTTAATCTCACAACTCTCAAGCGGGAAAGCGCAATTGTAAGGATTTGACACGTGGACCTTCCAGCAGGACCTAACGACGAAATACGCAATGTTGCAAAATATAAGTACCAAGTAACTACGAGAATACATTCAACATGAAAGAACTTGGGTACAAATTCTTATTTTGCAAACTGTTGGAATAAAATCACGCACAGTGTGCTTGGTTGAGCAGAGGAGCAGGAGACAATGAGTAGAAATCTGGCGCTGTTGGTGGCAACCATCGTTGGTACGTCTCAAAGCCATCGCATTTGTGCCCTTTTTATCTGCCTTTCACAAATGCACGCAGTGTGTACCGAACTGAACTGATCACAGGCTTCAAATGAGTTCATGCCTAGTTTTGGTTGGTGACAGAAGCTTGCAATGTTGACTGTGCTGATGTTACCTTGTTTATCTTTGTGCTAAACGCCACCAACTAGAGCACGTCCTGAGTTAACGATACCCAATAAGCGATTACACGGAGTCTTGGCAGTTAAAGTAAAGCATGAAATGTTTTGTGAATTTGAAATTGAACGGAATGTGCAAACTGCTCCAGAGTTATTTGTTTTGCTCGTCCTTAATTTGGTCGATTTTAAAAGGGCGACTTCAGTCTGCGCGACTATCCGGCATCGATTATAAAATGATGAGCATTCAATTGAATAATGATGATCTACGCGCTGACAAAAAACTGACTGATGAGACGAATTTACCACGTGTTGCCTCTTAAATAAACGTTTTGTCAGAATGCCACAATCTACCTCTGGTTACTGCAACCTTGTCTTACTTTACGATTTCGCTAAACAGCCGTTTGCTTGAATCGAGATATAACTGAGAAAAATTATTATTGGGTGATGAACGCGACACTTAGAAACGGAAGCAGGGAGCGTGAAGGTGGAATGCAAGTTTCACAATGACTATGCTTGACCTCATGTCACTCGGCAGAAAGTGCACTGCCTTCACGCACTCTTATCTGCTTCGTTCTTTCCAAACTACGTCATGAACGAAGCCACTACTGGGTTACTTGAAGCACTAAATCAAAACCACCCAAGTTGTACAATGAGACAGTTTAAAGTTGAAAACACTTTTGCGGAACCAATCCATTTTGTTTGTTTTGCAGAAGCCTGTGAGTTCTTGTGCTAGCATTGAGATGACAGTGCAGCGCAAAGTAACCTATATCATTTTATTTAATGCATTCCCTGTTAAGTAATCAAACTTCACTGGGCTGACCGACCTACTTTGCCAACTTGGGCTGAGAGAGGAAGATGGCCCACAGAAGATGCGTGGTTCAATCGACTACTATGTCCTTATTATTATTATCTTACAACTATCAATCAGATAATCGCAATTGTCAGGATTTAACACGAGGACTTCAAACCGACAGAAGGGTTCAAGTCGAACGACTTTCTAGCAGAACCTATCGACGAAATACGCCTTGTCACAAAACCAAGTACTGCCAAGACACTACATTAAACCATTCCGCATGGCAGGATTTAGTTACAATATCCTACATTACGGTCTTTTGGTATAAACTGACACGCAATTTGCTTTCGTTGATCAAATGAGTAAAAGACAATGTGTAAATGTATTACAGAGCTAGCTGGATTCATCTAAGGTGTCAGCAAACTTAGAATGTGTTTATGCCTGGTTTTTGTTGATTGTTAAAGCTTACAGTTTCGACTGTGCTGATGATTCCTCGATAATCTTTGTGTGTTAAAAGTCTTGAAAACTTACAAAATCACTAATGCAAGTAAATTTAAATGCTGTTCTAGATTTCAAATTGCAGAAATAAATCTTAATTATTGTCAAGCAATGTTAAATGACCTTCGATTTGGACTAAGTATGTGAAATGCTGCTAAGATGATAGTTTGTTCCGATAGTGTTCCCATTACCTGGGCGCTTGTAGTTAGCTTAGTCAGTTTCTAAATGGCTTCTTAAATTCATTAAGCCAGAAGTTACCTTGGGCAAACTTTTGGCATGGAGAAAAACTGGATCCGGTATTAACTGACTAATCATCCACGTCTCAACGTCGCATGGATTTATGAGTGGCTAGATCCTGAAAAATTGACTGTAATTCGTTACCTGATGCAACATATTGAAGTAAATTACGCATGCTTCGCAGTAGCGTTTATTTAAAATATGATGCTTTTGGACTGGTTTTATGTCAGGCAACAACCCTGTCCACTAACCCAATATCTAAGTCTGCTTGCAAATGTTGCCCACAAAAACCAAGAGATCCGATAGCACAGAACTAAACATTAAATGCAAATTGTAGCTTTCATCTGCGCTCTTTGTGGAATAAGCATTTGGCTTGATAGAATGGAAAGCCAAATAACTGGCATCAAATTGAATAAGACAACCAGTGTGAGCGAAGGAATGACTGAAAATGGGGAGGAGCAAAGAGAAGGAAAGGAAGAGCCAAATGCTACTTCGTCTCGACTCGTTGACCGAACGAGGCTCAGCTGCACACCTCTACCATCTAACAAACCATGTCAAAAGGATGCTATGAAGCATACGACCACGAGGAAGAGTACGTTTTTTGAATTGTACAAAGTAAAATCTTTAACAGCAATGAATTTTTGTAATTTTAGTATAATCTAGGGGACTGGCGTTTACTCAAAAGGTAACCACTGAATTAAAGATGATTAGACCCACAAACAGAAAAGCACGATGAGATATTCGCCGAATAGACCTGGTTAAAAAGCTTGTGCAATAGGGCAAAGAGCGGATGGCAATAATTCAGCAACAAGATCTTTTTTCCGCGTTGATGTTGATGGCCGAGGTGACGGTGCATTTTGTGCTGACACTTGTGGTAGCGTGTTTGATGACCACGCAGGTGACAGGTGTGGCGTTTCTGATAGCGACTCTCTTATGCGCTTGCATTAACGCCAATAGGTGAATATCACTGATAATGCCACTTCGAATGTTGCTATGTGTAGGTAGCTCGGCAGTCACAAATGCTAAGATGACGCCGCCACCCAAACGCAATGCACCATCGCAGACGACCAAGTCTACACCTCGAAGCGCAGTTACTACTTCTCGCCCTAAAACAACTCATCAAGGTATGACGATTTCTGGTAGCGTTTACAATGATGATGATGATGATGGTGATGCTGAAAGAGGTTTTAGTGGTGACGTTGTTGCTTGTGCTTCATGTGTAGAAGCTTGTGATCGTGTTGTACATCAATGGGATTGGTTGTTTGTGAGGTGTTACTGTTGTCGCCTGTCTTTTGTACTTGATGCATCTATAATCATAAATAATCTCAAGTGGTATGTCTTGTTGAGTAGGTCGTTCAGCAGTCACAAATGCTAAGGCGACGTCTCCACCCAAACGCAATGCACCATCGCAGACGACCAAGTCTACACCTCGAAGCGCAGTTACGACTTTTCGTCCAAAGCCAAATCAACCAGGTATGGCCAACGTGGCGGGTGATGCAGTTGGTGGTGATGACTGACGTGGTTGCAGTGTTGGCGTTGATGATGGTGCTTCGTGTTCAAATATTTGTGGTAGTGTTTTTGATGTCGTTGTCGTTAGTGACCTGTGTGGTGTTACTGGCGACATCTCTCTTTTACGTTTCTGGTAAATGTCATCAATAACCTCAGTTTAACTGCTGCTGATTGTTTATCACTCAGCAGTCGCAACTGCCAAGACGACGTCTCCACCCAAACGCACACCAGCACCGCGGAACACCAATGGGGAACCACGAACCGCGGTTGTAACTCCTCGCCCCAAACCAAATCATCCAGGTATGGCTAACAAAGCTGCCGTTAGAAGTGATTAAGATGCTGCCGCCTGTGTTGGCGAGGGTAATGGCTCGTTTGGTGACGATCTTGGTGGTGACGTGTGTTTGCAAGTGTCGACTGTATTTTGCACCTGTGGTGACGACAGTGGCGCAATTTCATCTGTTATCTCGCATTATTTATCTCGTTCTGGAGGTCGCTCGGCAGTCACAGCTGCCAAGACGTCGTCGTCCCCCAGACGCACACCCCGTTTTAATCCACCTTCAATCTATCATGATTTATGGTACGACTATAATATTCCTCAAAAGGCAACTCCTCCTCCACACACAGACTTTTTTTATTATCCAACGTTTTGATTTCATTTTCTTCCACATTCTCCCATTTTTTTTCTAGACAACACCTTCTTCCTCAATCTACGGTTTCTTTAATTCTGTCGCATCCACGAAAATATTTTTTTACATTATGCCACTTTTATCAGTATGTGATTCGTCTCATCGTAGTGCTTAGTAGCCTTTCGATTCTAAACTATAATGCTATCCGCGCAATGATTCTAATATTTTTGGGAGGCGCTAACTCATCCGAATTCTTGTGATTATGTGCGATCGAAACTGTGTCCTGATTCCAGCTAGCGCAACAAATTGTCCAGGCAAGTGAAATAGCCTCTGTCTGCTTACCATCGAATAACAGCATGACAAAATGCATTCATTGGTTATCCGGGCAACACGACTGCGAGTACTTCGTCATAATTCACTCAACATTATTGTATTAAACGTCCAGACTTCTGGACACTCCCTAACCAGTTCTTGAGTAACGTCAGCAGCGCCTGAGGGCAGCAAACGTTAACTACCTGTCGAGAGAGTCACCACTACGAGTGGTCCACGAAGACAAATATCTACATGCTGGTGTTGTGTGGTGTCAAGTCGTCCCTGTTGTTCACACAGGCTGTCCTAGTCAAAAAAGTGGAACGGGAATACCAAATTTCAGAAGACCCACATGAGCCTTATTTTGTAAAGGATAGATTACAGTCTTGGCAAAGCTGAAGAGATGCTGTCAAATAGTTTTCGATAAACAAATGGAAAGGTTTACTGGATAACAGCGCTTGAACCCTAACGCCAATATTTGGTCAGTACTCGAAATCATTCCCTCGAATCTACGAAATTTGCAGAATGTAACTTTCGCTTATTCATAATGTCTAGTCCTAGGTTTGGGATGTGGTAACTCATTCCCCTAGTAAATGGTCTGTATAATGGGGAAGTGTTTTACTTTAGGTGTTTACGAATGCACGGGCGACTGTATGTCAAAACTAATTACCCAAACCTGATCACAGCATACTTCGTGGTAATCTGGCGACAACTATCTCACAAGCAGCTTGTAATTATTGTGTACATTTCTACATCGTCGTCGCGCGATTCCTAGTGTAACACGCCAACTCGCATTATCGCTTGCTCCCATTTGTTTGTATTCGTAGGAATTTCTGTGTTGACAGCATCGCCGTGTATTCGCTAGACGTCGGCCACGACGCAGTTTCGAGTAACGCATCGAAACCTCTGCAAGTTGCCTGACTGTGGCTAACTTGCAATAATTGAGAGTATTCGAGTGTCCGATGATTCAGGCCATTTAATAAATGCATGCCTAGTTACATCGCATACACCGCTGCAACGTTCGTTCCTTGCGTGAAATCAGCTACTAGAGGCGGTCGTCAACAGTGTACTAAATTTTAACAATTAGTTCGGCCTGTATCACAAGTCGGGGCATGAAACCGTGTTCCTCAATTCGTTGTTAGTCTGCAGTTGACGAATTTTCGTTTGTTATTCAAGGGGATGTCGTAGAACGAGCCTACTAAGCATCCAAAATGAAATTGTACTCAACCTGTGCAGTGTTAATTCGAAAACTCAGAGTGTTTGCAGCCGTAACGAATTAAATTTGGAGATAAGATCACAGAAAAACGACTTTGGGCAACTTGTCATTTAGGATCATGCAAAACTTGCAAACTGACGCCTAAAATGAGTTTACACCATCGTTAACTTGATTCAATTTCCCTACTGATGCGTCAATGTTTGATCCATTACTACCTGAACACTAAGGCTGAGTTATCAGGTCAAATGGCAGCTAGCTCGAATTAATCTTCTTCCTTCAGCAGAAGACAGGGAACGAATGATTAATTTAAATCGTTCCATTGATTGTGTCCAGAGCAACCAATCCGGTTTTCATTAAACTACAGCTCTCACAACACATATCGATTTCTCGGTCACTCTGTTCAGACTTATTTTTGCAACCGCACACGACCATAGTTGTCCTGCAAAGGAGAAAACCACCAGAGATAAGACGCAAAACATTGGATTTTCCAAAAAATAAATCAGTGAAGGGCAACATGGCGTCTTCGATAGCACAATGTTGAGACGTCCTGAAATGAAGGAAATATCAGAGTCACAACGACTGACACAGCACACTAAAGTTGAAAGCAGAACCAAACAGTAAAAAGACAAGACGCTTCCCTTTGTCCAATCATAAAAATTAACTAAACGTCAAGCACCAATCAGGTGAGAGATCGCACGAACAACCACGACGTCACGAGTTATCGTGGAATGACTTGGTGAAATCAAGTCGAACTGCATGGCTGTGCTAACATTAAACTACCCAACTAACTAGACATGAATTTAGGCGCGAGCAAGGGCGTGGATGCTGGGGGCTATGGAGTAGTAAAATTCAGGAAAAAGCCTACTGAGAATTCGAATTTCACCAGTAGCCCAAATAAAGGCAAATGAATACTTACATTGGCTGCATCACGCTTTCCTCCGAAGATTATTCTGTCCAGTAGGAAAAGAATCACCACGCGTCCGCCGTGATGCTGTCCTTGGAAGAAGGACTCGCGCTCCACCAGATAATTTGACTTTCTTCTGTGGACCCCCGCCTTCGGGGACATTCTCCTTCTCAACGTCACCTCGTGGTGTCGATTTTGACAACAGAGATCTCAGTAGACCTCCAGGTGCTGACGCAACTGGCAACGGCGTGGACATAACTGAATCCGTTTTCATAGGTGGCCCAAGTTCCAAAGCGACCATGCACTTCGAGACAGAATTGTTCAGGTTAACTGTTAGCGCTGTCATCGCTGCCAATAGTTGCACTGCTTCCTTTAGTGCAGAAGCAACGGATTCAGTGGAATCTTTGTTGGCTAGTGATTGGACCATTGAGTCAGTTACATGCGAAAGGGCAGTGGCAAGCTTGGAAATCAAAGCAGCCGTTGTGGCGTTCTCCAGTGCACTCACGAACAATGGATTTGATGCCAAAGCTGCCGCATTTTGTATCGGTGAGGCCAGCATAGACGAGAGAGGTTGAAATGGGTGTGTCATCGTACTGCTGGGGACTGAAGGCTGAGCCGCGGTTGGCAACTGTTGAGTAATGGCCGTGGTGGGCGTCGGTGGCACAGTAAAATGTTGTGTTGCATTCGCAACAGCTCGATTTACTCTTGCAAAAACTTCCTTCTTGGCTGCTACTGCCTCTGATACATCACTCGACGGTGTTGAGGATGATGAAGAAGGCACTGGGAACATTTTTGTGGACAACCGGCGTAAACAGATCCCTTGTGCTAACTGTCAATGTCGTATGAGTCTGCCTTCCACGTGAGTGGCCGTCCAATAAGACGTCGAGGCAGATTCAGAACCCACCAATTGTCGTGTGACCTTAATGTGAACTAGAGTGAGTCACGCGCGCGAATTAGCACTACAAGCGAGCGTGTGAACGCACAGTCGCTAGCGCATGCACGCACGCACCCACGCACAAGGCATGTGTGAATGCTACGCTTGCGCGTAGCCAAGGGACCGATCACGATGAGTTGACCGACCAATCACTCTGTGACAACTCAGCTTGGCCTTGGAAACATTTGTCGAGTCAATCGATTGGAAAAGGCCATGAAGCGGCATTGCTACTTATGTTGATCGACCAACGCTATGTGGCCCTGAAGGTTGTCAAGATACTTCGTCACGAGGGTGTTGCAGTATCGACCTAGCACTGCAGGTGTCTGAGATGTCAGGCGTCATTTTATGACTTGAGGTCAGCCTAGAGCTCCAAACCAAGAGTAAAACCACCGTCTCAACGCTGACACAAGAACGCGCATAGTTGTGCAACATGAATCGATTTCATTTGGCCTAATAATTATTCGGTGCAACTATGGATGGTTTTAAAATTGTACAAATTCAGCAACTCTTGTAAGATGTTGAAGTGGAATTTTTGTGCTGAAATAGTGCAACGTGAGTTGACGGAGTCACGATTCCTTTTCAGGCAATGCTTCGCATCAGTTAACAAGCGTGCCACAAGTGTTGGTTACGAAAGAATGTTCCAGTGTTGATGTAGCGGGGAAAGGTTTGTCAGCTTGTTCTGTCAATTAGAAAAATGGAAGCCTTTTCTTATTCTTGTAATTCAAGTGATACACACTACTCAAATTTGTGGTTTAGTGAAATTGCACAACTCGGCTATCTCTGGAGAACCAGAATGCCTCTGTGTGGCGCGGTTGTCAGTTACGATGGCTGAGATTACGGCATCTTACTTGGTAGTTAGCAGGCTGCTGACGAACACATGGACGGAATTTAGGTTTTTGCGAATGCATTTGATTACGACATCAGAACAACCCAACAGCTTATTCAGGTCCTGGTCAGTTGGATTCAGTATGGTGTTAGCAACGTAGCACAAACCAATGTCGGTTGGGCAGCTGACCACAACTTAGCAGTCGTCCGCTACACGCTCCCGTAGCCGTTACATGGTAGGACAAACTCTACCTTTGCCAAAGTCATTCATTATTCACCAAGATGGCTTATAGGCTGAGTGAGATGAAGGTGGGGTCTGCTGGCGTGGGTTGTGGTCTTTGCTTCTCCTGGAAATGTAGACGCTTTTTGCTTTTACCGAAGTCTGCTGACTGCCAATGCGCGTTGTTTTGGACTAAGATCTTACATTTCTGACACCTATACTTTCAGTGTATGTAGAATGTGACATAGAGCATGGCCGTTCATCGCCAGCATACCAAATGCGAAGGAGTGTTCATTGATCTCGTTTAGTGGACTGCTGGACGATCGGATGTCCAGCGTTCAATGTTGAGCAGTGGGAGTGCCAATGTCGAATGATGTGGAAGGTTTCTTGACTGCGCTGAGGTAGAAACTACTACTAACCCAGATTTGACAGTCATGGAGTCTTGATGCACGTTGTTGCAGTTCGTCTGCCCATAGATGATCTCATATAGCGTCACTGGTGATTCCGATCAAGGAGAGCATGCACCAGCCAATTTATGATCGCAGAATTCGGCGCGAGAAGGCTCAAAATGAATTGCTTTTTTGCGTGAAACCTAATAGAGCATCTGCCCTTATCATCACTGACCACCGTTCTGTGGTCCATGACGTTGTCCAAATTGCCGGCATGGGGGAGTGAGCCACGGCAGCCAGTACAGATGGCATTCACTAAACAGGGTGTACTTCCTGGGCCCTGGAGAACCAAATTTTCGGTTAAAATCTATGATTTACAAATTAACCCCTTTTGTTCTGAATTAAAGATATGTTCTCTGGGGTCGACTATCATGTTGCAGATAGGTGCCATGCTTTCCACAACGGCTAATGCAGACTGAAAACTGTGGGGACCAATCAGCCTCGACACCATCCACACAAGACTGTGTAATTGTCAAGCCAAAAAGTAATTGTCGTGGAACTAATCACCACAAGCATTAGCACACAAGGAGCAACCACCGACGTCCTAACTAAAGTTACTTTCCTTATCATCATTACCGTCGTCATAAACAGCGTAAGCCATACCTGGCTGCTTTGGTTTTGGTCGCGATGTCGTAACTGCAACTTGTGGTTTCGCTTTTGTCGTCGGTATGGGTGCTGGTGTGCGTGGTGTTGGCGACGTTGTCTTGGCAGTTGTGACTGCTGAGCGATCTACAAAAAGAGTCTCGTCTGTTGAGATTACCGGTAATATTCGCCACAAGTACAAAAGACAGATGAGGCCAGTAACATAACTCAAGCCACCAGGCGTTAGCAAACAACGTGCAACCACAGACGTCTCAACTAAATAATCCTTTCAAAATTATCATTACCGACGTCATAAACAGCGTTAGTCATACCTGTCTGCCTTTGTTTCGGTCGCGATATCGAAACTGCACTTTGTGTTTTTAAATTGTCCGTGTGCTGCGCTGGGTTGCGTTTGGATGACAATGGCGTTATTCCTTGTCGCACATAGGTTGTCCTATTCAACGCCATTTCACTGGTTTGGCTTGCTTTTGCATCAAGCCAAATTTTGAAGCCGTAGGTTGCGCAGATAAGTGCTAAAATGAAAACTGTGGTTTTTGACTTTGTGCATTTCTTCTCATGATTTGCGTGTTGGTCGACAGCACCCAAATGCAAATATTAAAGTAGTAGAAAGCCTGTTGCCTAACATCACTACTACCTTCATTCACTGCACATTGGGATGTATACCTCGTCATTTCACGCACCTGTGTTTGTCAACCTTAAACTGTCTCATAGTAAAACTTGGATAATTTGATTTAATGACGCCATTAACCCAGCTGTGGCTTCCTTAATGGAGCTATTGGGTTCACGCCAATCGACGTAGTTTGGAAAGGACGAAGCAGATAAAAATGTTTGAAGGCAGTGACAGAGAGAACGTGGCAACTGCTACAGAAGGACTTCTCAGAGTTATTCCCTTGACACTTGCACTTTCTGTCGAGTGACATGAGGTCAAGCGTAGTCATTGTGAAACTTGCATTCCGCCTTCACGCTCCCTGCTTCCGTTTCTAAGTGTCGCGTTCATCACCCAATAATAATTGTTCTCAGTTATATCTCGATTCAAGCAAACGGCTGTTTAGCAGAATCGTAAAGTGACACAAGGTTGCTAAAATCGCATGCAGATTGAGGCATTCTGACAAAACGTTTATTGAAGAGGCAACACGTGGTAAATTCGTCTCACCAGTCAGTTTTTTGTCAGCGCGTAGATCATCATTATTCAATTGAATGCTCATCAGGTTATAATCGATGCCGGATATTCGCCCAGAATGTAGTTAGTCATTCATACAAAAGTCGCCCTTTTAAAATCGATTAAACTAAGGACGATCAAAATAAACCATCAACTCTGGAGCAGTTTGCACATTCCGTTCAATTTCAAATTTATTTGACATTACGCCACAAAAAATGCAACATTTCATGCTTCAGTTTAACTGCTAAGACTCTGTGTAAATTAACGTAATGTAATAATTTTTTGTATTGTTACTCAGGACGCATTTTAGTTTGTAGCGTTAAGTACAAAGATGAGCAGGGTAACATCAGCATCGTTAATATTGTAGGTTTTTGTCATAATTAACTGTTTGCTATCAGTTTAGTTCTCTACACACTGCGTGCATTTGCATCAGCATGCATTGTGAAATTCAGACAAGAAAAAGGTAAAACCGCGATTGCTTTGCAACGTACCAACGATCGAGGCCACAAACAACGCAAGATTTCTACCCATTGACTCTTCCTCCAACTCATCCTCCTTCCAACGAAGGCCAACTGCCTGTAAGTTTATACCACGAGTTCGCTAAGTAGGATATTGTAGCCAAATCCTGTCATGTTCAAGCTTTCAATGTAGTGACTTGGTGGTACTTGTATGTGTAACATTGCATATTTTGGTATTAGGATTTGCCCACAAAGTCGTTGGGCTTGAACCCTTTGGCTTGCGTGAAGTACACGCGTCAAATCCGAACAATTGTGCTTTTCCGATTGATAGTTGCTGGACATTCTACTTGGACATTGTAATAAAGGTTAAGTATCAGCCATGCATTTGTAAGATTTTAAGAGAATAGAATGTTTCGGGCAATTTAGCGTTGAATTGTTATCTAAAAGCTAGCACAAGAACTCACAGGCTTCTGCAACACCCACGAAATGCATTGATTCAGGCGGTCGTTCGGTGCTGCTATGCAGTGATGTCAATCGTGTTCCAACGTAAACTAACCGTTCAGCACGTAGTCGCAAGTGACATTCAAGAACAAGAAATTCAGTGGACAGAATGTTTCGGCGTGGATGTGGTGGATAAATGGTTACCAGTCTGTTCTGTTAACAAAAAATGAAATTGTAGGTTGGCCAAAGACTGCTGATATTTGGTGTTCCCTGGAATTCCAGAAACATGGAGCAACAGAAGGATATTTAAAGAAGTGTCAAAGAGTACTCGTGAAATGCGAAGGACTGTGCGTAACTGACTCAATTGCCACTGACAAAAAATCCCTTTAGAATTGGCATCTCTGTCGATATGGAGGGGATGGCTGAATTCATCACACCATCTAGCTCAACGCCAATCGACAATGCCAGAATCGCAGTCGTGACTGCCGTCTGGGTAGACATGTACACGGTCGAAGTGAACTACTTCAGAGGAGAAAAGCTAAATTCTTCAATTCCGTTAACACAATGCAAACTGACAATGGCTAGACTGCAAGGCAGCGTCTGCGTAATGGCCCTTCAGCGGTCAAGAATTTCACTCCATCGAGAAGCATTCTGCAGGTTCTTTACCCTATTTCACAGTCCTTGCTTTTCATTCTCTGACG